CATCCGATACTCGCTTCTATACCTAAAGCTAATCCTACTTACAGCTTATCCGAGGAAGTAGTATAAAGTGTAAAAGGTACACTGTAGTTGTACTTTGGTACGATTGGAAACCAACCAAAGTGTAAACCTTTTACACTTTATACTACTCCCTCGGATAAGCTGTAAGTAGGGTTAGCTTTAGGTATAGAAGCGAGTATCGGATGAGCCACAAGTAGGATCATCCCTAGGTGTAGAATGGGCATCAGCGCGTACGGATGGTACGCCTGGAGGGAAGGGGAAAGCGCGGTTAGAATGTAATGGCGGCAGAGCCTTCTTCTGTACGATACGCATCGAGCACGTAATAAAATCAAATCACACAAAGACCGGAAGCTATCCTCTTGAATCGACCCATCATTTTCAACATCATAAACATGGTCCTTCGAGCCGGATGACGGAGAACCTAACCTCGCAACCAGAAACGGTAGCACGTACCGACTTTCTTTGGTCATCCATCGCAAACCACTAAGTCCCAGTCTACAATAGATGATTTAAGCCCTAAGCTTTAAGAAATTGGCCAATCACGGTCAAGTATGAGTAGAATGCGCGACTGTGATTAGTCAATTTCTTAAGGCTTAGGGCTTAAATCTCTATTGTAGACTGGGACTTACAGGCACGTAAGCAATAACGAAACTATGGCAGAAGCTTTGGCACAATTAAAGAAAGATAGAGGCGTCATAAAGGGACAGTTAACGCGCGCGCAAACTGCTTTCTCAGCTTTCAGCACAGATCCAGGCGATCCCGCGGAAGTAGAGGCCAGATTGCAGAAGGTGTATGAGTTATGGAATACATTCGACGTTACGCAGTCGAAAATCGAACGTTTAGACGCTGCGGAAGGTCAAACGGAAGAGCATGGTCAGTTCGAAGCAGCGTACTACAAGGCAATAGCTCCAGCAAAAAAGATTCTCACACCGATATCTAAGGCGGATTCGGGACCAAAGGGACGTGGTTCGTCTCAACCCCCGTCAATTCAGCAGGATGAATCAGAAGTCGGAACGGTGTCGAGCATAAAGTTACCAACACTGAGTCTTCCCAAATTCGACGGTAGCTACGCGCAGTGGTTATCTTTTCGAGACACATTCGAAGCACTGATTGACGAAAACACATCACTCTCTGATGTTCAAAAATTCTATTATTTAAGGTCGTCTCTTCAAGGAATTGCAATTCAAGTCATTCATTCTTTAGAAACGACTGCAGCAAATTACAAGGAAGCATGGACTTTGTTAAAGGCGCGATTCGAGAACAAACGTTTGCTAATTCATCATCACATTCAGTCGCTTTTTGAATTATCTTCAATAAGTAAAGAGTCTAACATTCAATTACGAAAACTTATAGATGATACACTCAAGCATTTACGAGCTTTGAAAACTCTAGGACAACCGACTGACCATTGGGACACGTTGATTGTGCATATGATGAGTACAAAATTAGACACAGCTACACGTCGGAAATGGGAGACAAGTGTCATAGGTCAGGAAACTCCGACACTGGATACATTAATTGATTTTTTGACGCAACATTGTACTATGTTAGAAACACTAAGTCCTATTAAGCCGGTAGCAAATAATTGTCTCAAGGCTACCAACACGTCAAAGAAGGAAAATTGCGTTACTTGTATTAGCAGTAAGGGCGAGTCAAAATCGCAAAACACAAAATGTCCGTCATGTCAGGGCGATCATTCAATTTATCATTGTTCGGCGTTCAAGGATTTAACCACTCAAGCTAAGTGGAATGAAGTCAAACGTATTAAGCTATGCTTCAACTGTTTACGCAGAGATCATACCTCTGAGAACTGTAAGTCCAGTAGCTGCAAGAAATGCGACAAGAAGCACAACACGTTACTACACATTGAGGAATTTTATCCACAAACTAAGCCGAACAGTGATGGATTGAACGCTCAACAAGGTCAGGGTACACACGATGTACAGTCAAGTCCAGTATCATTGTCAAGCGTGCGAACATACAAGTCGCAAACGATGCTTTCGACAGCGTTAATTATAAATGTACGATCAAGCCGGACGGTCTCATCTGTGCAGAACCATTCTGGATAGTGGGTCACAGTCAAACATGATCACAGGGAAACTATGCAGGCAATTACAATTGCAAGAACATCGAAAGGATGTCTCTCTCTCGGGAGTAAACTCAAGCTATTCTCACAGCACGGGAAGTGTAATCGCCACGATAAAATCGCGAGTAAACGAATTCACGGTTAATTTACCGTTCCTCGTCGTTGAGCAAATCACACCGCCTCTACCAACAGTGAAGACTAATATACAAGACTTCCAAATACCTCATAACCTTACGCTGGCTGATCCATCGTTCAATGTCACAGCGTCGGTTGATGTATTATTGGGGGCTGGGATTTTCTGGAGACTAATGTGTGTAGGACAACACATCATCAATCGCAATCAACCAATATTACACAAAACCAAACTTGGTTGGATCATCGGTGGCAACATTGGACTTACAGACAACTGCCACAAAACCATGAAGTCAAGCGTCTGCGGACTCACTACGGAAACAAGTTTGCACGAACACCTGGAAAGGTGTTCTGGAAAATTGAGGAGTACACATCCAATCAAAATTTATCGGAAGAATCGAAACTCTGCGAGGAAGATTTTCGAAACACTTCTCTGCGTGATGAAGATGGACGTTTCTCAGTGGCACTTTCATTTCGAGAAGATCCAACCCAGGTAGCACATATTGGTTTCATATACGTTTTTTAAACGTATATATAGTTTCATAACCA